CGCGACATAAGGTTGTTCCTTGTGGCTCGCACAAATGCACAAACGCCCAAACGCGACATGTTCGAACATTCGAACAGACACTCCACCGGACATTACTATTTGGCGAGAAAAAATGAATCCAGTTGCACGACGGGACGAGCGAACGATCAATGTCCGGCAATCTCCAACCGAGTGAGTCTTCGCGCGCGTTTCCTTAATCTTGTTCCTCGTCTCGAGTTTTGGATTTTCTTTTTACTTACGGAAAAATGGAGGGCGACGACTGATTCGATCGTGATCACATGATGTGAATTCGAGGCGGGAAAACTCACGCGCAGACTCACGGGACAAGCTCTCAAGCATTTCGTATTCTCGAAATTTGAGACTCGTGCACGATTCAGTTAGATTATGTTATTTATTTACGTATTCGTTAGAAACGACGAGACACGACTAAGCTCGCGCAAAAAGTTGCCATTTCCTCTTCTTTTTACATATTATCTTTATAGTTATTATTAATATTAATATTATTATTATTATTATTATTAATAGTAGTAGTAGTAGAAGTATTAGTAATAGTTGTAGTAGTGTAGTAGTAGTAGAAGTAGTAGTAGTAGTAGTAATAGTAGCAATAGTAGTAGTAGTAGTATTAATCAATTTTTTTTCTCGCAAAGGAATCGTTCTTTCCTCATTCTAATTTTTACTTGTAACGATCGTCGAGACTTGGTCCCAACCGCGAACGGTGAGTTTTTTCTCGTGTGTATCTGGATCCGCTAATCGATAGATCGATCATCCCCGAAATCTACAAGAGATCTCTCGTTTCGTGGTCTACTCTCCGATTTACCGACGGTTACCGACCCAATTTACCGACAACCGAATGAGCGCGAAAACGATAGGAAAGGATCCACAAAGAACGGCGAGCATTCGGGGCCGAGATGGGCGAACGTCTCCCGATCGAACAGCGGAAGTAAAAGAAAAAAAAACAGGCAGTCGTTTGTTTCGAATGCAGGAGAGAACCGATCTGTATGATCTATATCGTACGTTGTGTAACAAAGAACGAGCGTGCCTCAGGATTTTCTGGTCAACGGCGTGGCGCGTGTGGCATGGTGGACAACGGAAAAATCATGAACGTTCTCTCTCTGGCCGATTAAAAAGTTGTAACAAAAGATCGTGAAGTACGAAGGAAACAACAGTGAAGAGAACAAAAAAAAATATATATATATATATATATATATGTGTGATCGATTGATATAGAATATATCCTCAAGATCGATAGTTTCCTGCACACTCGATGTTTTTATTAGAACTTTTTAATACAGTTTGTCATTATAACTCTTCTCTCGCCTCGTGTTTCGTTCATAGAGCAGACAGGGTTCAGTTTGGCCGGAAATCCTGGGACACCCTGTACATACTGCACTCTGTTCGCCTATAGATCGCGAACATCGACGTTTGCACGCGTTACATTTATCGAAAACTTTAACAAACCTTAATAAATTTTCTTCATTTTTATTCTCGATTTTAATAAAATACTTGATAAAGGAAACGAATGTCTGTTTAAACCCTCGTCATGCTAAAAACGTGAATTCGCACAAACGATGTTTACTACTATTATCATTAATATTATTAATATTAATATTATCGGTATTACTATTATTATCGTTATGCTATCTCGAGGAAAATGTAGCCCATCTCTGCCGACTCGATTAACAACGAAGACACGACAGTGTCGGCGATAGGGACCTCGGCGTATTTTTTTCTTCCTTAATTTTTTTGCTTTTTTACAGAAAACTGTCCACCATGTTATAACATTCTGAATCGTACTTTTGTGACCTTGCACTTTTACTAAAATAAATGACGAGAATCTAACAACGTGGGTAACGTGGGGGCTTGGGGGTGGAACGGAGGACGCTAGGTGCCTGTACTGTGTCTCTGTGTGTGTGTGCGCGCGCGTGTCACGCAGCGATCGTAAGAGGCCGTACAATCGTATTGTCGCTATCGAATCGATCACGCTCACGATCGCGCGATACAAGTTACCAAAAAGAAGCATCGAAGCAGAGACGAAGCACGATTCCGATAGATTTTTAACGTGGTTTCTCTCCATCGTTCAGAGTTTCCAAGAAATTTCTCTGTGACCGCTGAGACCTAAAGGAGGGAGTCCCCGGTAGGAACTATTGGCGCTCGGTAACTTACAATCTTCGCATGACACGCGCGTGCATTTTACGACTAACTTTCTCAAAAGATACCTCTTTCATATTTTCAGATTTTTGTGCTCTGCTAGACCAAAACCCTACTCGATCGGGAGCAGAGCGGTCTCGTTTTCTCGCGCGCAATCCATCACGGCTGCGGTTACAGGCACGCAAACGAAAAATAGAAAACGGTCCGCGTGTCTCTTGTTCCTGGCCACGTCCTCCGACGTAGCGGAATCCCCGGTAAATAACAAAGAGGCGGGTGGGCGCGGTTAACGAGGGAATTTGGAATCGTTTATCTGGGATCGCCTGCCGTAACCGCAGCTTCACAAACGTAATCTCTCTGTTCTCGTCGGTGCGCTTCGAACGAATACGATCGATGTAGCACGAAGATGTTAGGTTCCAGCGTCCATATCAGAGATCATTCGCTGATCGTCGAATCAGTCCCTCGCGAATATCGTTCCCCCTCTCTCTCAACGTTTCCTCCTCGTTTCTTTTCTCTGCTTCGTCTTTCTTATTGCTTATGGTACAAGGACGCGAGGATCGATCCGATACGCGCATCGATATTCTCCTGCGACTCGAAAACAGCGGGCTCTCGACCTTGACAGCTACGATGCTCTGAGAATAAGAAAGCGAGAGGGAGACAGAGAGAAAAGAGAGCGGCAGGGGCGGCGGAGGGGAGAATATCGAGAAGAAAAAGAGAAAAGATAGGAGAATATCGAGGCACGCAAAGTACGATTATCGAAGAATGGCGGAACGCGAAACCAAGAGAAACTGCAGAGTGTATGCTAAATGCCAGTACGAGGAAAGTGTCAACATCCGGCGTCTCGGTACCGCAGGCAGTGGTACGTTTCGGTTTGCTACGATAGTGGTCGGTGATGCCAGATCGGAGGGAACCATTTCCGAACAGAAATTTGTTTTCTCGTTGCTCGAATTGTCACGCCCACGCGGAACAGAGAACGAGGTTTCTGTCGAATGGTCCTTACGTGGATTCGCTCGAAACTGCTGGAACGAGTCCCGTGATCTGGGATCACCGAGGAACGGTTGCGATGCTACCGCAAGGGGTTGTGGCCGTCGCGCGACCCCGCCCCCTCCCGCTCGTCTCTTCGCCGTTTTTGTTCAACTTTCTGGTACAACGATGAGGTTTACTTTACAAGGATATACAATGTGTCGTCGCGGCTATTCGAGTTCCATTAGTTCTTCTCTTCCCTTGTTCGATCAAAACAAAAAAGAAAAAAAAACAGAAAGAAAAGCATCGGATAGCTCCGTCGATCGGTGGAATCCTTTTTGCACACGCGCTGGTGCGACGCGACGATCGAAACAAACATTGGCAGCAACGTGGCAGCGAAGGTCCCGCGCGGACTCGGTTTGTAACGTTAACGAACAGTTTGCGAGACTATCGCTATTGAAAAAAAAGTACTTCGGAGATCTTGTTCTATTTGCAGACAATGCAATTTTCATCGGTGCGTCTATCGCGCAAAAGGATTCCAACGATCGCTAATCGTTTAAAGGCTGGAGGCTCGCGTACACACGCGTATCATATACACATATAGTATATATAAATTATATACATATATCTATATATGTAGATACATATGCGCGCGCGAATGTGTATATATATATATATATATATATATATGCATGTATGCGTGTGTGTGTATATATATATAGTATATGTACAATTTGTTGGGTGAAAACGGTTCTCAATTTCGTATTGGGATCGAAACGCGAGACGTCGAACTGTTTTCACGGATCGAGGCGATATACATGTACCGGTACCGCTGAACGAGAACGGTTCTTTTGTTTCATTGTTACGCAGAGATTGATTTTCGGCCGTCGTCTCTCTTATCCACCTTGTTCCCGTTTCGTCTCGTTCCATCTTCGTTCCTAGTTCTTTTTCTCGGCTTCGTTCTTGCTCGCGGTTACGTCGCAGACAAACGAAGAAGATAAACGGAGAGCTGGATAACACAGACGTCCCCTGGTAGATATCGGCCGATTCACAGGATTTCCGTACCAGAGTCGATTTCTCGCGAGGTATATACAACATTATGCTTCTCCGAGGCCGATCGCCTGCCACCCACCTCGGTGGAGGCGTGTCTCGCCCCTCTAGGTCTCTAACTACCGGTCGCGGCGGGCGTGACCTATCTCCGCACGCTAACGCCAACGCCGACGCCAAGTGGGCGCGGCCACGCCTACCGTCGAGGGCGTGGCCCTCTTCCTCGCAAGCACGCTACTCGTCCGAAAACATCCGGAAAGCATTCGCTCTCGCTTCCGTTTCATATTTCGTTTTTTTTTTTTTAATTCCTTAGACTTCCCGCCGTTTCGTCGTCGTCGTCGTCGTCGTCGTCACGACCAGTATTTATTCTCTCTTCCTGCCGCGTTTCGGTTTGTTCTTTCTCTACTTGTTTTCGCGCGCGGATTAATCTACACAATACTTAAATAATAGCGAGTCGCGTTTAAATACAGAGTACAGAGTAAGAACAACCGGAGCGTAAAAAGTTTTGATGATTATATATTATCGCGAGTTAGGGACGGGACATGTGTGAGACGAGTCGATTATATTACGATTTTCTCTTAGCTCGTGTTTTTTTGTCGCTTTCTCAAACTTTTCTGCTTCCCGTTTCGCTAGACCATTTTCCTTCGTGTAGCGTTTTCTACTTCTTTTTTTTTGTTCTCGCGACAACGATGACACAACTATGACAACGTGGCGCGATTATTCTCGACGGCGGGCGAAAAACGATAACGCGAACAGATATTACAACGATGGCAGAGCAAAAGAAAACGACGATAACGGTAACGGTGGTATCGAGCATGCAAAGATTTCGATAACAGTAAGATATCGTTTTTTTAACGCGTGTCGTGTATATGTGTGTGTCTGCCTGTGCGCGTGTGTGTGTATGTGAACGTAAACGAAGTTCGGCCGACCGGGACCGAGCGCGAATTCTCGCGCGAAATACGCGGCAATTTCGATCGGCGATTCGGAGAGTAAACAATTCCGATCGCGGCCGGTCGATATCGTACGTCTTTCGTATATTTCTATATCGCAATACGCGTTTCCTCCTTGGGTCCAGTTTCTCCATCGATACCGCACCGAGACGCGATCGCATCTATCGAAGCCTGCGCGAAATTGGTAGCGGTCGTTTTTGTTCGTCATGTTTCTCGCGAATTGATTCTTCTTTTTGTGCAGATTTCGAAGTCCCGACTAGAAGGACAGAGATCGTCGTTGGGTATAACGAAATTGAGCGAGCAAGAGAGAGAGAGAGAGAGAGAGAGAGAGAGAGAGAGAGAGAGAGAGAGAGAGAGAGAGAGAGTGAGTGAAAGAGTCTGAAATAAAGGCAGAGAAAAACGTTGCGATTGCTGGTTCAAAGTCACTACCCCCAACATTCGACTTGAAGTTGGAGCAGTGAATCCAGTGACCTTGGACACTTGGCGCTTTCACAGAGGTTATACGAGATTGTATCGAGTGTAAGACGTCGGAGGATTCGACGACGAAGAGATTCAAGTTGAAATGAGATTATCGCGACGTGGACGCGTCGTCGAGCCTAGTATGCGCGTTGTACGCATAGAAACGCGTGCTGGTACACGCGTAATACCGCGAAGGTAACCGTAAGAACAGCGCGTCTTTGTAACTGGCAGTGTAAGGCATATAGAGTGCTTAAGACTAGAATATAGTGCAATAAATAGGCCTCGTAAAGCCTGTTCAAACTAAGTCCTATACAATCTTTGACGGACCTACGAAAAAATCGTGTCCGTGTAACGCGACTGTATTACGCGAGCTACCGTGAGACGAGTCGTAGAGTTCACGTTTTTTTTTCTTTTCGACCGAATTTTCGTTTTAACGGAAACTGGAACACGAACGAACACCACATATTTATAACATGTATTGCACGATCTCACGGATTCGATGGATGGGCTACCGATTTCGCGAAGGCTCGATCGACACGCGTCGCGATCTTCCTTCGAACGTTGGAACAGCGACACGCGGTCGGAGGATTCCGTTCAGAGTCAGAGCAGAAGTTAACAACTGTTTTATATATTTAAAATAGTCCGAACGGAAATTCAATGGTCTCGCGAAACTTTGACGCAAATAATTGTGCAGCACACGATGTAAAACATTTGTTGAACTTCTGCTTGCGCTTATTCACTCCGGCAAGTACTGTTCCGAGTATTGCATGTGTAAGTGTTCATGGGTATGTCGTGTGTGTGTGTGTGTGTGTGTGTGATTACACTCATTCGAATATTCCGCGGATAATCGCAATCGGATCGCGCGATCGAACAGCATTGGAGCGAGGAGACAGTATTCTCGATTTGGTTTCGTTTTCACCGACTTCGTTCCCGATTATTGAAATCGATAGGTCCTGAGAATAATTACAGTATAGCCACGCTGAGACGGGAGATAAGCGAACGTTTTCTCTGTTCCGTTCTCTTGATCGTTTGATCACGTACGCTGGGATTTTTAGAACAATTAAACGAGTCGGGACAATTGATTAATTAATAAGAAAGAAATATAAAACAAGAAACAAAGGTGAAGAAAACAGCGATACACAGTATTCACTGCGTATAATCGCGCCTCGTTAACCACGTAACGCTCGCGTCGTGATCCCCAGCACGCGCGAGGGGATTGGTCAGCACAGTGGGCGGGTCCTGCTTCAGTCTTGCTGACGCGACGGTTCGACGGAGCGAGAGAGGAGGGCGTGGCAATGGGTGGGCGGGAACGCAGAGAGAACCAGAGAGATAGAGAAAAAGAGAGAGAGAGAAAGAGAGAGAGAGAGAGAGAGGGAGAGAGAAAGAGAGATAGAGAGAAATAGAGAAATGTTGGAGCCGTCGTGGGACCGCGACCACTGCTCTCTACGGTCACGCGAGACCAGTCTCGAGCGGTGCGATTATAGGGAGGGAATACTGTGCGTAGGATGTCTCGTCGAAAGAACGTTGCGTCTCTCGTTGATTTGGGTAGATCGTAGCTATATATTTATTACTAAAAGTACATGCGAGTGTTTCGTACCGTGGCGTGATTACGTCTTTACTATCAGGATCTTCGTATCGATTTAAGCGTAATTAATGGCAATGTCGTGGCATCCGTTTTCCCTTCGTTCGAATCGATGCCCTTTACCTACGAGGACACGCGTGTATCCGGACAAACATATCTCTATCGTCTCGTCCGTGTTTCATCCGGACCTCGAAACAACAACAACAACAACAACAACACACCCGTACCGAAAATGTTCGCACGGCGACACCCACGCGCGGGATAACATCGGCGCGAAACATTCCCGTGCGCGTTTCTTACGCGCTCTCCTAAATAAACTCTTCTTTTCGTAACTCCTTACTCGTTTTTCATTCCTTCGTTCGTTTTTCGTTTCCTATTCGTATCATTTCATTTCATCTCGTTTCGTTTCCCCATCCATTTTATATTCGTCCATCATCAACCTCGTTCAACACGCGAAGTAAGGCTAAAAAACAATGCGCACTCGTATCGTTAGTTTTTTTTTGTTTCTTCATTAAACTTTGTTTTCGGTAAGGCACCCCCAGGGCTGAGTATATTCACGGAAGTATTTAGCGATACAAACTAGTGACTAGATCATCCTTAAGTCACGCGAGAAAGAGCGAGGATGAGAGAGAGAGAGAGAGAGAGAGAGAGAGAGAGGTGAGGAGTTGTGGTTTAGTGTTCGAGAGAGATTTAGAAATAGAGTGGTACTGGAGGATCGGGGGAGAGAAGATACAGAGAGAGAGAGAGAGAGAGAGAGAGAGAGAGAGAGGGGACCGAAGCGGTGGATTAGAGTTGTGCGAGGTAACGAGAACGACAGAAGAATACAGGGGGTGATTCTTTTCGTTTCAAAGAGGCTAACGATGGTAGAGATGAGAAGCTACAACACAGTGCAGTCCAACATAATCTCCGAGGATTCAAAGAACTTCCCGCACTCTGTGCCTACAAACACAGTACTGCGTGTGCGTGTTCTACAGGGTGCAACACTTTGAATATTTCTCTGGATACAAATGGTCTCGCGATCGTTCGGTTACAAGGGGTCGAGTCAGGCTAGCGTCCGGTGGCATCTATCGTTTTATCGCGCGCGGACTACGCCGACTTGTCGTTGGAACAGCGTTGTGCAGTGTTCGCGCAAAACGTTCGGGTCCGATCGAACGAGTCAACACTGTCCTCGCGTGTGTGTCGCTCTCGACGGCGGTTTCGCGACGGAGAACAAACGGAAATACAAACGACAAATAAACAAATAAATAAACGAACGAAACAACACAGGAAACCTCGTCACGGACCGGTTTGCTCTCGCAGGGACTCTAGCACCATTGTATCTCGCTCTATCGCGTTACACACCTTGCACGCAAACAGAACGCGGTCACGTGTCCACCGGAGGACAGCACTGGTCTACGATCCTCGACGCTCGCAAGCTCGTACGAACCTCGGGGACATCTACACCCATTTACTTCAGGTAGAAAAGATCTTCCCCCCACCCCACACCCCTCCGATAAATTCCATGCGGTCTAACATTACGTTACACTTAAAACGGAAAGAAAAGAAAAGAGAAAGAAAGAAAGAAAGAAGAACGGGAAAGAAGAGAATCGAAGAAAGGAACCATTCTCGCGTTGGCGTAGATTATTATTATTCGTCGAAGGAAGAAGGAAAGCTACGAATAATCATATTCGAGAAAAGAAATTAGACGAATAGAAATATGGTGGGCTGGGTTCGGGGAAGGGAAACAAAGAGACGGATAGAGATAGCGAGATAGAAAGACGGAGGTAGACAGACAGACAGATAGATAGATAGATAGATAGAGAGAGAGAGAGAGAGAGAGAGAGAGAGAGAGAGAGAGAGAGAGAGAGAGACAGAGGAAAGAAGAAACGTAAGTAACAACTGAACAGAGGGAAGGCAGTGGTGCGTTATTTTGGTATCTTCTGCTGCGCCTCCACTCGACGGTTCCGGGCTCTCGCGGTCGCGAAAGGGTGGAGCCAACCATGGCCGCGCCCCCTCGCAGGAGGGGGTGGAGCCAGTCAGCAGCGGACACGGACTCTTGTGGAGCCCGAGGCGTGGCGGGGCGGGGCGGGGCAGAGCGAAGGTTACGCGAAACCCGTTCACAGCTCCCGAGTGGACGCGCAGCATCGATTAATTGGTGTTTTCCGCACGGATCGACCGAAGTCCGCGAGACGATGTTCTCGCGGGCAAGAAGGTCATCGTCATCGTCGGATTCCAATATCCCGTTTCGTCGTCCGTCGAGCTCGAACACGACCGTCGACGACCGATCGCTCTCGCGTCAACGGTTACAATTACATTATTTATTATCGTCCCTGTCAGCGGTCGCGTTCGATGGCCGCGGTCGTGGTCGTGGTCGCGGCCGTGTTCGAATGACGAGGACCTAAGACTTGCGTCACGATCGTTTGCTTGACTAGTTTAGGAATGATCCTGTTCGTTCTCAAGGATCGAAGAGGCTAAGGTATCTCAACGATCGACGCGCGCAGCAGCGGTTCCCATTTCGTCGAACACGCCGGCCACGAGAGAACAAGAATCAAGGAGAGAGAGATTATTGATTAACATCGGTCGGAGGTGATCGAATAAAGTTAACACTCAACGAATGACCGTCGTGTTTTCGTGGCATTCTTGTGCCGCGACTGCTATTTGGTTGCTGTTATGCTTGCTTGCTGCTTGCTGCTGCTGCTGCTGCTGCTGCTGCCGCCACTTGCCGCTGCTTGCTGCTGCTTGCTGCTGCTGCTGGACGATCCTCGTGTGTTCAGTTTTCTTTTATACTCTTTGCCCGTCCGTCCCATTCTAAACGGCAGTCTCGGTGTGACTGTGACTCGAGAGCCTTTCGACGTCGATCTCGGGTATGGTCAGCTCGTCCGGGTTGTTATCAGCGTATTCGATACTGCTCGTCTGCGAGAGCCGGTTGTTCAACGACGACTGCTTCCTCAGTACTTCCGCAAAGGTAGTGCTGCTGTGCTCGCTCGTGTAGCGCGCGTCTAGGCCCTGCCGAAATGCGTTCACTACGCGGATCTGCAAACGGAAACCTTACTGTCAGCGATACATAATCACAATTCTCTGGACTAGCATTCGTTGCTTGCTAGCACACGTTTGGGAGGATGTACACCAGGTATCGATAGGTCCATCGATTGGAACGAGGATGCTCCTCCATCCCCCTACGCTGTTCATCCGATTTCAACTCGTTTTCTCTTTCTTTTTTTTCAGTCCATCTCTCGAGTTTTCCATTTTCGTTTAGGGGAATTCGAGGATCATCCTGCGAACGTTCAGAGGATAATATTGTATAAATATAAATATATATATAAATTGATATATGTAATTACATATATATCTACCTACATGGCAGGTATAGCACGTGTACATATATATGTAATTACGTGTACGTATGAAGAGACAGAAAGCAGCGGCCACACGAATTACTAGAAGAACTAGCGGGGCATCGACACCCTACATAGCGAGGCGATAGTTAAGACACTGAACTCGGGGAGCAACGTCGATCGCTGGATCGCATCTCGATCGCAAAATTTCTTTATATATTCGTTCGTTCGCGGTTTAAATCTCGAACGACGTTAATAGGGGTCGGAAACGACTCCGCGAGTCTGCGGTCGCGCGAGAGTTAAACGCGATTTTGTTAATCGGTGTTCTTCAGGGTGATTCTGTGTCGCAATCAACATCTACGGTACCATACCTTTTTCCTCGGTTCGTTCTACATTGTTTAGCGGTTTGGCTCGATTGTTCTCGATCGATCGACGTCACCGCCTCGAATTATCGATGCGATGTCACGCAACACCACATGCACCGATCGATTACCGGAAACCGGTTTCCAGTTTCCGGTATCGTCTGTCTCGATGCGGCAAGCGGATATGCGAGGTCTTGCCGAGAAGCTTCTCGAATGGTTTTTCAAACACGTACGGCCCACGCGACACGCGGTTTCGAAAAAAAACAACGATATTTTTCTTACTATCGACGAGAAGCTTCTCGGATTTCCTGAAACTGCTTGAAGCGCAACTTGTCGGTCCGATAGACAAACATGTTCCAAACAAGCCAACGAGCGAACATCTTTCGGCAACGCGTTGCCGATTTTACATTTGATCGCGCGGGAAAGGCACAGGCCCCCGAAATCTCTAATTACAAATTACAGCAATACGTTTCCAATCAACGTTTCCCATCGTGGCCCGTGTCTTCCCAGTGCTGCGTATGTATATATATATACACAGGGTGTCTCGTGAGAAGGTGGCACCGACTCTTATCCAGAGGACCAGCGCCACCCGGTACACGAAAATCAAAAAATAGGTGTGAGGGTCGAAAAATGAAAAATTGTAAAATAAAAAAAAACAGGAATATTCCACGCATATACACTTATGCATCGGTAAGGTGAGCTGTAATAGAGCGTGACAGACTGCAAACTGCGAACTGGCATGCAATTGGCGATTCACGTACTCGACGAACATTGCTATCATCGGTCAGCGAAGATGTACACTCCCGATGACGAAGAAAAAAGAATAATATATATATATAGAGAGAGAGAGTGTCCTTGAGAGATAGGTGCAAGCGGGCACCGGATGATTGTTCGTGAAAAAAATATAGAAAGCATGCAGAATCACTCTTTTTACGTTTGGGGCTTAGTCCTAGAAAAAAGAAAACGAGTTTAAACATTTGCTTTTACGGTTAACAAAGAGAATTTTCGAACTCGACTTTTTTTTCGAGAACTAAACTTCAACGAAAAGAATTGTTGCATTTGCCTAACATTCTTTTGCGAGGAATCTCTTGGTGCCGGCTTGCACACATATCGTTCGGGGACACCCTGCATACATATAGATTTATTGTATATGTGGTAATATTATGTATACAGAGACCCCCGGCGGCAAGAAACAAAAAGAAGACGATAAACACCTTTTTGTAAAGACAGCGAACTCTTTTCCTCGAGATTTCTCGGCAACGTTAGCTTACTGCGCTGTATACAAACGATTATCGTGTCAAACGAAACATATGTCTCTCTCTTGTTTTTCTTCCTTCCTTTCTTGCATTTTTTCGTCGCGAAGGTGTCAGGAAAATGTGTGTGTCGCGTTCGTTTCCTTTCGTTTCATTCGACGTTTGCGGAACCCGCCGGTGGGCGGATTCGTTCTCGATTATCGTCCGTGTTGCTTTCGATAGATTCGATCGGTCGACAGAAAACATTTAGGGAATACTTACACGATGAGTTGGCGGTAGAGAGGTCCCCTAACCAGGCTGACGGTCAGACTCTTTAACATGGCCGAATACGTCCGGTTTAAATGCATCGTCGCGAGCTGGTTTCGTCACCGATTAACATGCACGCTACGCCGCGCAATACCGCTCTGCTGATTTCAAGAGAAACTGTTCTCCCAGCCAGGCTGGGACACGCTTTCGCGTCTATCTAGTCATTTTCTTTCCATTCCACTCCATTCCTTTCCCTTCCTTTTCATCTCTTTTTGTAAATACAGTTTATTATGTGAAAAATAAATTCTTTCTTTTCCTCTTTTCGTTGGGCTACACGTGTACATATATATATGTATATATGTATATTTTAACTTTTTGAGCAGCTCGTCGCAGGTCGACGACACAGGTGTAGTGACCGGAGATTTCGTACGCGACGAACGATACACGCGTCTCCCCGCCGCTTTCTCGACGAACGACCGATTCTAACCTCAATCGTCGCGTCGACGCTTTCGAGAAAGAACACGCAACGTAATCTCGATTCTCGACCGGCTTGTCTGATTGCTGTGTCGCGGCGGTCACGAACATCGGCGGGAACGTGTTCTTTTTCGAACGAACAGACGCCCTCGACTATCGACCATCGAGGATCGCGACGTCGGTTCGATTATCGAAAGAGAGGCCGGCGAGTCGCGCTCGGATCGCGCGGCGGGAATCGGCCCGGAAGCGTATTCAGAGAAAAAGAAACAGAGCTGGAGAGAGAGAGAGGAAGAAGAATAGAAGAAAGGGGTGAGAGAACAGAGAGCGAGAGAGGGTCGGAGGCGAAGGGTGAAGAAAGGCCTTCGTGTACTCGATAGGTACATGACGATCGGAGAAGCTCTCACCCAGTGCACGGTAAGTAACTGTGGAACACGTTTCGAATCGACGAGGTGATCGACCTGCGCGAATGTCGATCGATCGATTTGTTCGAGAAACCTGGTAGCGGGAGCTGGGAGGTTAGGGACGAAAAGTCATGGAGTCCTGAACAACTGTAGACGCACGACGTTCGCGTGCATCCGCGCGACGATACGCGACAAACGGGACGTTGGTTTTCTCTTGCGGCTTCTTGCGAACAAGAACGAAACGAACAAAGGAGAGACACAGGGCCAAGGAAACGAACAGCGCGTGCCGGTGAAAGGCTCGCAAACAGTTTCGAGTATCGTCTATCGATTCGACTGGTGTACGTTCTCGATGCCGCAAGGTGATCATCGAGCGAGCCGCCCGAGCGAATCGATTGTTTCCTAGAGCTGTCCCTAGATCGCGTCCGAGATCAAAGATGCCGGACGGTCTACAATTTTGAAAATCTATGGAACGTTCTACGTCTCTAGAAAACCTATGATTATTCTAGCACAAACGTATCTATATCTGTACAATCTAGAACTCTAGAACATCGCTATGAATTCCGTGTTTCTCTAAGATCTAGACGCTACGACACTACGCCTGTTTCACGATCTCTCTTTCTCTCTCTCTCTCACGCTCTCTCTCTCTCTCTCTCTATCTCTCTCTCCCTCTCTCTGTGAAATCGTCCGAACGCGGACGAAAACGATGGATCGACTGACATAATGTCGGACATCGAAACGGACGCCGCGTGGCACAACAGTACGAAAAACAGAAACGAAGAACAATCGAGACGTAGAAGCAGACAAAGATAAAGCGAGTGCGCGGTTGTACAGGTGTTGGTTCTCTGTTGTGTACTGGTGTGCGTGTCCGTGTCGTGGCTCGGTGTGAGTATAGCAGAATAGAGTTAACACAATTCATACTTTCGTGTTTTCTAAAGAGAAGAGACACACACAGAGGACGCGGGGAACGCGTTCGAATACACGAATACCGGAAGACGGGGATACGATACCATAGCAACGAGTAAAAAAGAACAACCGGAAGTCTCTAGAATCTGTTCTGGCGAAAACTTACAGTTTACTTTGCTAGCTGTTCAAGTCGATGCAGCAACCCATCGAGCTCGGTTCTTGTCAGATCAGTCCCATCGGTACGCACAACACTTCGATAACACTGAACACTAATATAAACTAATTAACACGATCACTTTTTCTCGCAGTGAAACTCGGCAGCATGATCGCTCGCGACGCGAACTGCCGGCGAAACTGATGCGCGTCGGTCCGCCGCGCAAGACGCTTCCCCCACTCTCCTGCTGACGCGGGATACGCGGGGACTACGCTCGAGCAGAAAGCGCGGGAAGCGCGACGCGCTAAAATTTCAAATGCGAACGATAATTCGAAACTGTTTACTGCGATGCGATTACGAATGATTAATAAATTTAATCGAACGAGTCTTTCAACCTTGTCACAACTAAAAATCTGTACACTTTTTCCGAGCCCAACGGGTTAAACTAGGCTCGACAGTAGGTATGGGATGGAGTCGAAATAGTTAAAAAATATTAGAAAAACCACATTTCTGTTCGATCTGAGCTACTTTTAACATACTTTATCCCATCTCTACTGGACTGCGAACGGTGCAGGCAGAAAGTAAGATAAGTAAAGGGCTAGAGTGAGAATACTGCAGGCCCAAAAGGCAGAGAGAAACCAGAAGAGGAAGGGTTATAGAGAGAGGGTTAGAGAAGAATAGAAAAGAAGAGAGAGAGAGAGAGAGAGAGAGAGAGAGAGAGAGAGATAGAGAAGAAAGAGAAGTAGGAAGCGTGTCGAAGCGTAGGGGTAATTAACAGCAGCGAACAGACGGTGTCACATAAAGAACGAGTTATAAACAGTGATCTTGTCAACAGTAACGGGTAAATAGATAGAAAAGAGAAAGATTGAAATATAGAGGGAGATAGAGATAGATAGAGAAAGATAGAAAAAGGCGGTTGGAGAGTCTGTATGTGTGTTTGTCTGTGGTGCGAGAGCGTGTTTTTGTAAATGTCGATTCGACAATGGCGTGTGGATACGTGTGACTGTGTGTGTTATACATAGAGTTGGAGACAGACAGACAGACAGACAGACAGACAGATAGACAGACAGACAGAAAAAAGACTTAGCGAAAGTGAGAAAGATAGAGCAGAGAGGAGCGCTTACAGCTTGGTCTGTCGAACTCTTGCTGTAGGGTACTGGTATCAAACGTTCCTGCAACTCGCCACCTATTACCTTCAAGAGCAAAGGATAATAATATGGTTATAACAGGATGCAACGAGCAATATGCACTTAGCAAATTACACCACCTCGAAAACATCGCTTCAAGAAAAAAAGAATAAATAAAACATAGATCGGATTGCAATCTTTGCTCCGAAATGTTTCTTGCTGTTCGACCCGGCTCGAACAACACCGCTCCGCTGTTCAGGCACCTTTCGAATCGTCGCGTAACGCATACGTACAAAATATTTCTTTCTTCTCGTTGGTCGTAACATAGCACGCGCAAGCCGAAAGGTACCTGGCTATTCTGTGATCGGTAGAGAGACTGATCGAATGAACGGACGGTGTCTTTGGCGACGCTATCGAAACGGATACCGCGCGTAACCGGAAAAATCGGGAAACCGGAAATGATAAAAAGTGAACAGAGAGATCGATAAGCAGAGATACATGTATTAACCGAGGATTGCTCGTGACATGCAACGCAAGGAACGAATGTCGTCGAAAGGTTTCACCGTGTAGAGTTATCTTCCAGCCACGTTTTTCCGGAAATAGGAACAACACTGCGTTCGACGGGGCAAGAGGCCCGTTTCCGCCGTTGGACTGCAAGATACGACGAGTGACCCGGCGAGGATTGATTGCGATCTTCGAACGACAACACGAGACGCAGCTTGCGAACCGGCTGTTCGCGGGAGTGGTAACAGATTCTCACGATCGAGTGTTCCGAGATCGAGCAGACACTAGCAGGTTGCGCGGCAATGAACGCTAAATTTTCTAAATTAGGAAATTTAGCGCACGGAGACATTCTCGAGGCATTGTACCGGGCCGTTTCCAGCAACAAGTAGTAGAAACACACGCGCGGTCGGACGCTTTCAAGTAGCAGAGTCTGCCGCAGCCAGACGCGTCCAAGTAGTAGAGTCTGCCGCGCTCGGACGTTTTTATCAACGAAGTNGAAGAAAGAGAAGTAGGAAGCGTGTCGAAGCGTAGGGGTAATTAACAGCAGCGAACAGACGGTGTCACATAAAGAACGAGTTATAAACAGTGATCTTGTCAACAGTAACGGGTAAATAGATAGAAAAGAGAAAGATTGAAATATAGAGGGAGATAGAGATAGATAGAGAAAGATAGAAAAAGGCGGTTGGAGAGTCTGTATGTGTGTTTGTCTGTGGTGCGAGAGCGTGTTTTTGTAAATGTCGATTCGACAATGGCGTGTGGATACGTGTGACTGTGTGTGTTATACATAGAGTTGGAGACAGACAGACAGACAGACAGACAGACAGATAGACAGACAGACAGAAAAAAGACTTAGCGAAAGTGAGAAAGATAGAGCAGAGAGGAGCGCTTACAGCTTGGTCTGTCGAACTCTTGCTGTAGGGTACTGGTATCAAACGTTCCTGCAACTCGCCACCTATTACCTTCAAGAGCAAAGGATAATAATATGGTTATAACAGGATGCAACGAGCAATATGCACTTAGCAAATTACACCACCTCGAAAACATCGCTTCAAGAAAAAAAGAATAAATAAAACATAGATCGGATTGCAATCTTTGCTCCGAAATGTTTCTTGCTGTTCGACCCGGCTCGAACAACACCGCTCCGCTGTTCAGGCACCTTTCGAATCGTCGCGTAACGCATACGTACAAAATATTTCTTTCTTCTCGTTGGTCGTAACATAGCACGCGCAAGCCGAAAGGTACCTGGCTATTCTGTGATCGGTAGAGAGACTGATCGAATGAACGGACGGTGTCTTTGGCGACGCTATCGAAACGGATACCGCGCGTAACCGGAAAAATCGGGAAACCGGAAATGATAAAAAGTGAACAGAGAGATCGATAAGCAGAGATACATGTATTAACCGAGGATTGCTCGTGACATGCAACGCAAGGAACGAATGTCGTCGAAAGGTTTCACCGTGTAGAGTTATCTTCCAGCCACGTTTTTCCGGAAATAGGAACAACACTGCGTTCGACGGGGCAAGAGGCCCGTTTCCGCCGTTGGACTGCAAGATACGACGAGTGACCCGGCGAGGATTGATTGCGATCTTCGAACGACAACACGAGACGCAGCTTGCGAACCGGCTGTTCGCGGGAGTGGTAACAGATTCTCACGATCGAGTGTTCCGAGATCGAGCAGACACTAGCAGGTTGCGCGGCAATGAACGCTAAATTTTCTAAATTAGGAAATTTAGCGCACGGAGACATTCTCGAGGCATTGTACCGGGCCGTTTCCAGCAACAAGTAGTAGAAACACACGCGCGGTCGGACGCTTTCAAGTAGCAGAGTCTGCCGCAGCCAGACGCGTCCAAGTAGTAGAGTCTGCCGCGCTCGGACGTTTTTATCAACGAAGTGCAAATAGTGCGAGTAGCACGGAGTAGTAGGAGTCGACGCGTGGTCGGACGGGACACCCGAGTGACGCGAGTCTACGCATGGCCGGACAAGTGGTCTAAGCACACTCCGAGACCGGCGAACAGTGGAAAGTGTTCTAGCAGATATAGAAGTATTATAGAGTGGTTGGACGATTGCGACTGATTCAACAGAATAAGACTGATTAGATAGGCTGATCGACTCACGAGCGAGAGCGGCGAGTTACGCGCGAGATTGTGAACAAGTTAGGAACAACGTGGGAGACGTGGTTGCAGGAATAGAAACGATAGAGAGATTCGAAACGGTTCGACGGCCGATTTCATATGTGAAAGATAGAATAGAAATGGGTGGATCGATGCCGACGCGAAATCACAGTGACGCACAGGTAAACGACTACAAGGTGTTCTCTCGGTCGCGGAGGAACACGAGCGAGGAAGTTTGTGCAGACAGAGAGAGGAGTGTCAGACTCAAGCGAAAAAGCGGATAGAGACCACAGAGAAATGTTGCTAACGGTGTGTTCGCATGTGTCTCTGTGTGGTTTAGTGTACGCAGAACCGTATCAGGATCGTCCCAAGGGTTTCTCTCTTCCGGAGTGTAGTGGAAATTCGCAACACTGCCGTCTTAAAAGTCAGCGATTTTCATTTATTGACCGAGTGTGTGATCGTGCAGATTCCATGGCGAGGGCGCACGAGTCGAGAAAAATCGGATTTTTGTAGCCAACGCACCTTCTTTTTTCTTTTTCGTTCAGAAGAGGGCGCCGATCGAGATATATCGCCGACAGAGACAATTAATCCTCTGCAATTATTGGATCGTCTAACTTTACATAGTACACGTACGAGCTTGCTTTTCGAATTTTACTCGCGTGTGTGCACAATTAATTAATACTAATAATATCTCTTAGCGTAAAAGCATTCTCGTTTGGTACCCCAAATCGCTTTCACGCAATCGGTCGAAACAATTACATATACATGGTGTACCGGAACACGTGGCCGTGATTTTGGCGTGATACAGAAATCATGCACTCGTATTTTCCGGTACATCCTGTATATATTGTTTCTCTCTTTCTCTCTCTCTCTCTCTCTTTCATATATGTATAAACAATCGTGTGGTTCAAGCACGATTTGCAATTGTACTTGTGTCTGTTCAGCTTAACGTGATAAAGCGCTACAAATTCTCGTTTCTCTCTCGAGAGAGAGATAACCCACACCCCGAGCGATTAAATTAATACGACCTACGGATTAAGTGTTTTACAATCTACGAGAAATCGATAGAAAAACTCTGGCGGCGTACGGTATTTACAATAATTATTTCTCTTCATTTCTTGTTAGTCAACAACAACCCGTTTCGGTTCCGGTTTTATAAATGAAACGAGAACGCAGAAAAATGCAGACGATTAACGGTCGTTAAACGTTTCTTCACACGGCCACGACTGTGTGTGTACACGCACACGCTTCTACTATAAAAACGTTTATAAAACGAAAAAGTCTAGAACACGGTGAAACGCAACCGGCTGCAGGTATACAATACAATCGCAATAATATAAACAAACAAATGAAACAAACGAAACGAATAAAACAAGGAATGTTCACGCGCCCTCTGCTGATCGGCCCTGGATCAATTAACATTCGGATAACGTGTCTTAAACTTTATTTTATATAATAACAATAATAATAATCGCTAATAAGAATTAATGAAAAATTAATAATATATGTTCATATATTATACTCCCTACGTGATCGTTATTATCGTTAGTCAAATATCGTTCAGTTTTCCTTCTCGTTTTTTCCTTTTTTTATAGTTTTCATATAGTTTTCTTATCTTCGCTCGAACGCGGTCAAAAAATGCTTTCTCTTATTCTCTTCTCAATGCGTCACACGTTTAAACAAACGAGAATCGGACATCTTCTCTCGATTGCTACTTCTTGCCAGTATACCGAGATTTATGCATCGTTCGTTTCAACAACCAACAACGCAACATATTCTCTCTATCTTTATTTGTTCTCATTCGCTCTCACTCAGGCACACGCGAACTACTGGCGTTCGCATAATCGATCCAGGAGGATCTCTACGTTTCTCGTCGGATCGTAGAGATTAGCACCATCGAGGATGGAGAGTTCCTATCATCTTTCAAGATTGCTTCGCTCGCAGGGCTGAAGAAGACCCTGAGGGATAGCAACTGGACGAGTCGAAGAAGAACACTATCATCATCATCATCCATTATTATCATCATTACCATCATCGTATGCGCTCTGACCCTGAAGGTCTGTCGTCCGCAAATACAGCAAGCTTCCGCGGCACAACAGACTTTTAGAGGACGAAACTGCGTGTTCTTTTCGACGGATTTCAGTCCCTAAAATTCTGTTACAACGCGGATTAATAATTTCGCGTCAGAGAAACCACGTGGCAATCACGAGAGAAGACTAACGTTCCTTTCGACGGCTCTCTAAGAGTCTTTGCTGTCATTTCTTTCGGTTTTACTCTGTATTTATCTGGCCCGCGAAGCTGGCAGTGAACGCGGCGGTTTTTAAGTCGACGTGTTAAGTGATCGAAACGGAACAGAAACGACGATTGTTTATGACTGATTCCGTCCGGGGCTTGACTTAAAAGATAGAATAAGTGACGTGTTTTCTCGTTCGCCGTCCCTGGTCTTGCCGAACTGCAAGCAGAGTACAGAGGACAGGAGGGACCAAACGGCCGAGGAACGAGCGCGGAACCTTGATCGCGATCCAAGCAAGACGGACAAACATTATTTACAAATCGGCGATAAACAAGCTCCCCCGATTCAACATGATTCCCTGTAGAAAGCTACTGTGGTTCGTTGCGGTCCAGAACGCGCAGACGCGCACGATAAAATAAATACCCTAAAAACAGATTAATAAAATTAGTCTAATTTACAATCTACAGCTTAATAAATAAAATAAATATCGATTCCGGTTATCGTAACGTAATTCTATAAAAATTTTCCGTTCGCACGAGCGTCCGCAGATAATCCATCCTCGACGATCGAGGCAACGATAGACAAAGTATATGATATAGATCGTTAACGAGATCAAGATTCCACTGTGTTCCTCGACTCTGGATCGAGGTAAGGCGATTAGGACAGCGACGAGACCCGATCAGACGATTAAGTACGTCCTTTGCCATGATCGTTCCCAGGATTGTCTTCCAAACGAGCGTTAAGTACTTGTACCTTTCTCTCACTCACTCCCTCTTTCTTTCTCTCTCTCTCTTTCGCTCTCATCGAGAAACGAACCAAATACGTTCTCACCCTAACGTTAAAGAGTACGCTCTTCTTCGGATTGAGGAACGGAAGGGAACGTTTTTGTCACCGTACGAAGCCGAATAAACGTAATCGAAGATAAAGATCACGAGTACGGAGAAGACGACGCGTCCACTGTGAAGAAAACGACAAGAGTGGATGAGGCACGGAGAAGGAAGAACACCGTGCGCATTGTCCGAGACAGCGTCGACAATCATCGATAAAAAAATACAGAAGTGCAGGCTTCGCTATCATTGAGAATCGTGTTCAAGAGAAAACTCTAAAAAAGAGGAGCTCGCGGAATGCCAGCTGAGTATCATACGTGTGTACTGACAATGAGTATATGCGGGCAGAGTCGCACGACCGGTCGCCGCAATCTTGCGTTTGCAGCTGTACCGGTTCACGCGAGTCACCCGGTATATGGTATGCGGTATACGGTTGTTCAAGTAAGAAAACGCTCCGCGTGCGAACCGATCCGAGCGACTACGACACGCTCTACGACTCTCCCGACTTACAGTTTCGAGAGAGAGAGAGAGATTCGTGGCTCGGATCGGTCCGCGCACAGCAAAAGATGGGTTCTCGTTCCTCCGGCAAACGAAGGAGGAAACTATCGGCGAACTCTAGTCAGAGATATCTGAGGCTTTCGTGGTCCAGCATCGTACACGGTTCTCGCCGATCGTGCTCTCAACCCGCGCCATTCGACAAAAGCTGCGCGACCTCTCTCGACCGAGTTTCTTTTCTCTTTACCTCGAGAGCTTCTAGAAAGCAACGAAACGGACCAGACGATTGTTCG